CAGCTCTTAGAAAGTTTGAAGAACTTGGGCAGGAGTCAACTTCAGAAATAAGGCAGGATAGGGGTAACAGGAAATGAAAGATGAAAACATCCTTAGGTCAGATTAGAATCTTGGGTTATAAAAATTTCTTGTGCTTTAAGTGGAAAATTAGGTCAGGGATAGATCTGCTTGGTCTGTTAATGTTTGTCTTTACCAAGGGAAAACCGCTACGGGACACAAATGAAAGTGTCCAAGGTCTCATCTGGTATTAAGATTTTTTTTTTTCTGGATTCTCCAATTCTTCCACACTTGTAGCATTCATAATTCACTTACTTATAAAAAACTGATTGTGTGTTCTTCATATTAAACTGTATCAAAAGTTTCCATGTTTGCTAAAATGAACCATTTGCATCACGGAAATGTCTTTTTCTTCTTAATTTTTCCTGCACCACTCTCTCATCTTCATCTTTTTCTAGTTTCTCCATTTGTTTTGCATTGGCAAATTGGCCATGAATTAACATTTTTCAGAGGCATTACGGAGTCAAGGAGTATATGGGGTTAATGGTAGATGGTGTTGAGGTTAGGTCCTTCTGGTTTAGTTCTGCTTTTCAGATCTATGCATTTGTGTTTAGTTAAGCTTTGTAAGTTACTGATGAGAGGGAGATAGTTATAAGCATGTATGTCTATATGCAGTAGTCATTCAACCAAATAGAATATACTAAAAAGATACATAACCTTTTAAACCTGAAACTTGGAATATTGTGCATTTAAAGCAAGACCTTTATGGAATGTTATTAATTCACTTTATGTTTTATTAAAAAGTTGCTTTATGGGAGCGATCTCAGTGTTTGTGCAGTCCCCTGTAGAGTAAGGTCTCCAGATGCTACCAAAGCACACATGATAAATAATAAACTGAAAAAATGACAAATGATCACAAATCCCACTGGATTCCCTTTGATTTGCAAATGTTCCTCGAGCCTGAATAGATGTTCCAGTGTTTTGAAAATTAACTGAATTCTTCCCTGTCCTTTCTCCTGTTACTCTGGCATTTTGAAATCACATCCCATATGAGTTTATCAGCAGTGGTTTAAAGCTGTGTTATGGCTTCAAGTGTACCCTGATGTACTGGACACAGGAACTGAAGGTCTGTAGGGAGAACAGCTTCCTTTAAATAAATGATCTTGGCTGGTTTGTAGAAACTCTAGATAAGTCTTAACTAAAAGGTCACTGAAGTTATGTGAATCAAGCAGTCTTATTCTTGTGAAATACAACATTTTGGTGTTCACTGCATCCTTGTGTCAGAGCTGGAGCACAAAGAACAAAGCTCATATTCTAATGCCTTTTTCAAAAAATTACTTGCAAATAGAGCCAAAACAAGCCCACACTTCTTAAAAAAAGAAACCTGTGCTTGTTGGACACTATGGTGCCACTTTGCATTTAAGACTGAAACCTCAATGCAAATCTTACAAAAGAACTGGAGGCATTCATATCCCACTTGGAAAAGTGCATTAATTCCAGGGCTCTCCTCCCGTGAAAAATATGCCTTTGTAATATTTTCAAAACATGAACTAGTGCCACCAAAAGCAATCTGAAGGGCTTTGTTATGTGCTTAGCAGTTGAGCTGAAGGGCTTCAAAAAGGCCATATACCCTAAATGCTGTGAAAAGTAGAATTAAAAGCCTTAGTCTCAGCACAAAAAGACAGTGGCAGAGGGGTATGAGGAAATGGTCACTGAGATGCTATAAGGCTGTGTTTCTTAGTTGATGGGTTTAAAAATACAATGAAGGAAGAAAGAGCAGGAAGTGATTGATTAGTATAAATTGCCATAGAAATGAATACAGTAAGGGAAGAAAGAGCAGAAAGTGATTGATTAGTATAAATTGCCATAGAAATTAACAAATACTAACCTCCTAGGGTTGTAAAATACAGGGCACTAGCCCAGTCTGCCACGTGTCACTGGCTGAGAAATCTTTGATACATTTTTTTCTGACTTGCTCAAAATGGTTGTAGAATGGTAAGAATACACTAATGATTTTTTCACTGTGCCATGGACTCCTGCTCACATGCAAACCTGGGAATCAGAAGGGTTGTGAATGCTTAAAGAAAATAGGAGATACTATTTCTTTACCTGTATTCAGTATCTATTTTGAATATCAATTGAAGGTTTGGACTTCTAGATAATTTTTCTTTCAGTGGAACAGTTTAGAAATTATTCTTGCTTTCAACTTACCATTGCTACAAGAATGTACAGGTCTTCTGTTATGGTGGTGTTTTCTTATTTGAAATTGATACAGAGAAATGTTGATTTCTTCTATTCCTATACTGAATCAGAATTTCATCCTTTCCAGGAAGATGCTTAACTTTGTCAGGCATCCTCTCAACTCTTTTGTAAACCTGGCTTCTAACAAAGTTCGCTAAAACAGAACAAATAGTGGTTAGTTTCATATAAAATGCTAAATTCAAGCATTTTTTGAGGTGTTTGATATCTTTCAAAGGCTCCTCAGCAACACAAAAATAATTTATAAAATACTGTGAACAAAAAGGAAGAAGAATGCCAACAGTGTTCTCCTTACACAGGCATATTTCATTAAGTAATTTTCATCCCTTTTTTTTTTTCTTCTGGTAGCTGCACTCTAATGTTTTACATATAACTGACATATTTGGTTATCCTTCATTCTCAATCATAACTTGTGTTCTGTACACCAGTCGGAACATGGTTATGATCTTTCAGTCTCACATTCTTCCACCACTGCTTGAGCCATCACGTTGGATTATTTGAAAGGGCCAAAAGAATGAGTTTGGATGTGTATTCACAACATGTATTCTTCAAGAATAATGCTGCTTCTGCATTTAGGAGAGAAGCATGGAACTGAAAAATGATTATGAAATAAACTTCAAATGATAGATTAGACTAGGTTAGACCATTTGTTAATGCGTCATCAGCAGAACTAAGTAAAAACCTAAGGCTTTTGTACTGGGTTTGCTTTAATGTTTTAGAGAGCATTTTGCACAAAAATGATAAAAATTGAGGGATTTAAGGACTTTTCAGTGTAAATTTATGCATTGAAATGTGTCAGCTCCTTAGATAGTTCTCTACTGTATTTTCCCACATTTGTTATGTCTTGCTCTAGTAACCTTAGTGCAGCATTCAGAGGGAATTGAAGGGTTTGTGCTTTTGGAGAAGTGTGAGTAGCAGATGGGTGTGATCCTGCCCTTCAGACCAAAAGCAAGTGGATTCCAGTATGTGAGTGTCTTCATATTCTCAGCAGCAAAACTAAAAAAGTATGAGATGGGAACTGAAAAGCTCAAACATTTTTGGAGAAACAAGGAGGGAAAGAGACAGATAATTAAATATGTTGATTCTTTCTATTTGCATGTAAAATTAGTGAGTGTTTAGAATCTATATGGGTCATATTGCTAGCTGTTCTTCCACAAATTCCTATAATTCCAAATAAACCTAGAGCCTTTAGGAAATAACTGGTATGGCAAGTCTTAGAACAAAAACAGGAGGCAGAGTTCAGTTCTTGGAGGAGACGAGGACTTAAGCATGACTCACAGAGTGAAAATTACTATGCTTTTTGCTTGTAGGTCTCTCTCTTACAGATTGTCATCACTGTGTGGTCTGCTAATCTGGTATTTGAAGTGCTGTCTATGATTATTCAATGTAGCTTCCCATGTGCTAACTATTATTATTGTTCTTAAGCATTGTGTAGGTGTTTGGAGAGGGTTAAAAGCTTCAGTGTTGTGTCCTGAGGATCAAGGCACAGCAGGTCTGGAGCTTCATGGACTGGTAAATGGGTGGTGGGTGAACATAAGCAGGAAACAGGGGCAGCATGTAGGTGTGTTGTTGATGGGGGGGATAGCACAACTACTGAGATGCTGAGCTGGAATGGAAAGAAAAGGAACTTGACTGATCCCCTGAGCATCAGCATTAACTCCCCTATATGCCTGGCACCCTCTTTTCCCCATCCCTTCATAAACCTCTCTGTATCTTTACTGTTTTGTGCACTGTCCTTTCCAATGCCCCACCTGCTCCATCCCTCAGAAGTTGTATTTGGACCTCTGCCTTCAGGCATTGCAGACACAGAGAAAGTGATAGTCTGCGGCAAAAGATAGACAGGGATAAAAAACTCCAAATGCTGTCCCAGAACAAAATAATAATAAAAATATCAATGAAATGTTTGGAATGAAAATATTTAAATTTATCTTCAGGATCAGCTGGCATAATGAGGTCAGCCTGTTGGTAGAAGTGATTTAAAGAACACCTATTGACAGCTTTTCTTCTGAGAAAGCAACATCTCTAGTTTGCTTCAGTAGCAGTTTTCTTGTATCTAGAGAAGTCTTGTGTGCTTTGCATGTTCTGATTAAAATCTGA